TTCTTTTTGGATTAGGTTGGTAATCTTATTTCTTTGGAATCCATTGGATGTTAGTACATTAGTGAGAGTGTGTAGTTCGGTTTTTAGGTGTTGTTCATCAGCTAAGAGTTTTGTTCTGGAGATGAGTGTCTTGGCTACGGAGTTGATTTGTGCTGGGTGGTGGTGTGAGAGTGCGTGCAGATAGCGATTTGTGTGTGTTAGTGCGTGCAGAAGAAAACACACACAAATCGCTATCTGCACGCACTCTCACACCACCACCCAGCACAAATCAACTGCTCCTGCTACATGTTAATGGACCCAGCTGTTCCTGCCGTGTTACGGGCAAGGTGCCTACTCCAATGTAAGAGGCCCCTTTAAGTGTTTTACGCCTTCTATCGCAGCTATTCTCTACCCCCGCCCTCCAGGTGGGGGGAACCCTTTCTATCCTCCCCATCCGGAGCGCACATATATATATACACCCATACACATTAACAACATCTATACATAGAGACAATCAACCACCTCCCAAAAGAGAAAAGGACTCCAGCACCTCTCCCACAGTAATCAGCATTCCAATCAGCATAGATTAACTCCAGCGTCAACTTCAGACCAACAATCAAATAAGCAATACCCCAACCAAGAAACTGCCAAAGAGCCATTAGTGAAAAGCCCAGCCAAAGAATTCCTAAGACCACCCCAACCCAGAAAGACAAGACACCAGAATATAAACTGACAGCAAATAACATTCCTTACTAGCATTGATGATGTTATCTAATTAGGTTAATGAAATGTCTGCAAAAAAACAACCAAACTCAGAGAGCACCGACCACTCAATGTGATATGTGTGAATTAGAATTTAGAACTTTCAAGATAATAGTATTTTATTAACTTTTAATTGTAGAAAACTAAAGGGTCAATTCAGATGTTTGCTAAGTTTGTGATTTCATTTAATATAATGAAAAACTGGGGAGAAGTTTGCATATAAAAGTCAAAATGCTTTATTTGACCTGTGGTTACCAGTTTTCCAACATGTTTACTTCTTTGGAAGCCATTTTTTTCATTCTAAGTGACCTTGTAGTCATTAAAGTATACACATTTTAATTCAGAATTATCTTATACAGATAATCCTTGACTTAACACCCATTCATTTAGTGACCATTCAAAGTTACAAAGGCACTGAAAAAAGTGAACTTATGACCATTGCAACCTCCACATGGTCACATGTCAAAATTACCTTTTATAACCTTCTGACAAGCAAAGCCAATGGGGAAGATAGATTCACTGAACAACTGTGGCAAGAAAGGATGTAATTGAGCAAAACTCACTTAACAAATGTCTCGCTTAGCAACAAAAATTTGGGACTCAATTGTGGTTTTAAGTCGACTTCCCATATAGAGTTATGGAATGTAGGAGTATATTATTTTTCTTAACCTGCCATAAAAGTATTTTAGCAAATTAAATAAGCATTTAATAACTATTTTGTCTCCTTTTCTTAGATATGCGTCACAAAGATGTCCACACGGAATTGCCAAGGAATGGATTCTGTGATCAAACCTTTGGACACAATTCCAGAAGACAAAAAAGTCAGAGTTCAGAGGACACAAAGCACTTTTGACCCATTTGAGAAGCCAAATAGTCAAGTAAAAAGGGTGCATTCAGAGAACAACGCCTGCATTAGCTTCAAATCTTCATCAACTGAGAAGGAATCTCCTAAAATCAGACGACATTCCAGTCCTAGTTCTGTGAGTCTAGGCATGCTGTATTTGTCTCTTTTAAATTCTTCAAACAAGTTTTAGATATTTTGATATTTTAATAGCAGTGTTGCTTAATACAAGTGATCCTCTGAAAGTATGTCTATTTTTAAAAAGTCAATGTTTTTTCAAGTAAATACCGTTATTAAAATAAAATAGTTTAATTTTTAAATTAATAGTTCAAGGTCATTGGAGACTCTTATTACAGAAGTTTTAAGTGTAGCTTATATTAATATTAATCAAAGCTATAAAAGTAGACTCTTTGAATATATGGGGATATAGATTTAGTTTTGATAATCTATAAATATTTCTTTTGAAAAATTCTACTTTGAAAATTGGTGTAAAACTCTATTGGAAAGTTTGGACAGAAGAAGGGTTCATGACTCTAAACCAGTTGTTATGTAATTACAATTTTAAGGATTTTTCCTTCCTTCCCAAATCATAACAGAGGTGCTGACTTCACAACTTAAGCATGTTGATGCAGTGGTTAAGGCATCAAGCTAAAAACTGGGAGACCAAGAATTGTCCTTCCTTAGGCTTTGAGCCAGTTAAATCTTCTCAGCCCTGAGGGAAGAAGGCAATGGCAAACCACTTCCAAAATTTTGTTAAGAAAATTGCCCAGAATCACTCAGGTGAGATGGGTAGTGTAGAAATTTGATAAATAAATAAAACTACAGGAACTTGTCCAGGAAGTAATCAGGAATCATTACTGACTAAAGCCGCTTAGAATTTTGTGATATTTTACAAAAATATTTTGTATTGATTATATTATAGTGGTACATTAGTAAACAAATGACTATTGATAAGCCTAAGCTAGTTTTTTTATTTTTCCTTTTCTTTCTTAGTTTGTATGTTTAGTTTGGGGTTGCATTTTGTTTTCATTTTAAGTTTAAAGATTTTTTTTTAATACTGTATGTTAAGAAAGTTAAATAACTTAAAAACGCAGATAGTTCTCATCTATAACTATAATGGACACTGCCCATCACAGTCATAAGTCTTGATGTTTGCAAATCGGGTCACAGCTCAATGTTATGACCTTTGCGGCTGACATTAAATGAACCAATGATTTGCTATGAGCCAGTTTTGCCAAAAACCAGAAATAAAAGTCAGATTTTGACAAACCATCCTAAAACACGGTCAGGTGACCATGGGAGGGGTCAGAACCTGGTAATAAGTCCCCCAGGAAAGTCCATCATAATTTTGAACAGTCACTAAGCAAAGGGCTACCTACATGAAAGTAAAAAAACTTATAATGGGAATGAACCAGTATAATATGAGTGTTATATCAACCTGTAGCCATCAGGTTATGTCTAAATAGGAAATGACTTCATTTGAGACTGTGGAAGGAGGGCATTACTTTGAGGAAAATGGAAATTATGTATTTGAAAGGACTTTTTGCTTGGTTGGGTAACTATCTTGTGATATCAAAGGATCTTCTCATATGGAGCAACTTTAAGTAGATTTATATAACTGGTGAAAAAGTAGCAAAACAGATACTGCTAAAGTAGTACAGTTGTGTATTCTAGATGCAAATTTAGATTTCTGAATATAAGTTTGATTTTTTTTAACAATGCTGCTTTCTTTGAAATCCGTACTCTACTTTGAAATGGGGTTTATGCTGTTTCATCACTGATTATTAGATGATGATCTTCTGATTCACAAATGTGGTCAATATTACCATCCATGTGGAAAAGACATAATTGCTCTGACTTTTTAAAAGAACCATTAAAAACTGTCTTCCTTCTTTGTTTCTAGGTTTATTACTCTAACACACAGAACTTTCTGATTTGAATCAGCTCTAAGCATAATTAAATCTGGATTTGGTGCAACAGTAATTAACTTTACTTATATTTACTGTTGTTATGAAAAAAATGAATTTTTGTTGCTTGGTCTCAAAAGTGTAACATACATATGTGTTAGGTATATGTACACCTTTGAGATCAAGCAACAAAATTTCATTTTTAATGTGTGCCAGTGTGCCCACAATAAAATATGACAATAAAGGTTGCCTGCCTGCCACCCCTCTCTCAAGGGGTATTGGTTTGTACAAAGCAAATTTAAAAACTCTTCTTTTCATTCACAACATGTCTTCAGTGATGTATATGTGTACAGTAGTAAGTAATTTCACAGATTAAACTAAGAGTAGCCTCTCTGGCTTTAATGATTTGGTTCTTGCTGTGCAGGGTACAGGATTTGTAATTACTTTATTATTTGATTGAATATTCTTATGGTTGGGTATGTTTGGCAAGAAAATTAGTTGGAAGCCTTATGTACTAACTGTATGTAAATGAGCTTTTGTTCTTAGAATTGGGTATTTTAGTTCTTTCAAATTTCAATTGCTGATTGTGTACTATGCTAGGTGATGGAAACAAAATTATTCTTAGTCTGATAGAAAGATATGTAAAGCAAAATTGTTCTGAACTAAATGAATCATACTACTCTTGGATCCAAAGAGGACAAATTTGCTCTCTCTGAACTTGAGAGACTTGCTGAAATACACCACATAAACTGAGGAAATAGAGTGCACCATTATTTTCAATGAAACTCCTTTCTTTCATCAGGAAATAGCCTTTTATGAAGCTCTTATTTCTTCAAGTATTTGCATCCTGTATTTCCACTCTTCCTCATTAAACAACTCATTCTTAGCAATAGGTCTTTCTCTCACCTAATAGCACATTTTCTAAAGTGAGAGGGATATAGTTTTTACCTCAGAATATTGCTTCAAGACCTACTTTTCAACAGATCTAAGTTACACTGTACCCTCTCGGTGGTGTTTGAAATAAATACATCTTGTGATAGCTCATACCAAAACAAAATGGTCAGATCTTTCTTTCCCCCATCTCGTCTTTTAAACCTTGAAAATGTCCATAAAAGAACCATTTAATGTTAAAGTTGGAATATAAACGGTCTAAATAATTGAAAAAAACAAAGAATTATTTAGAATTCTCAGGTTGTACTTGTGAATTTTTCTGTTGTATATTTTGAGAATTTCCCCTCCAATGAAAAGAATTCTTGAATATCTTGTTTGCTGAATATATTCATCTATACTTCTCTCTGAAACACTAACAAATATCCCAGAGACTTTCTGAGATGAAAAATGCATTACAATAGCATTCTTTTTTTTTAATGGGAGACACTGTTAATTCTTAAAACATGGAACCCACCTTACAACATGGTATCCACTTTTCATCTTCAGGAAAAGCAGTTGACCCTTTTAATTCAAATCCAGAATTGTCAGCTTCCATTTCCTGCTTTGTAATTGATGGGTCATCTAGCCATTTGAATCAGATAGCTGAATCTTTTGAAAAATCAGAAAAATGCAGTACAGAATCTGTTTGAGTTTAGAGTAAGTAGATAAGATCATCTTTTGGTTGTCAACTTGATAAAACTTCTGCTCTCTGGGTTATCAACCGAAGTTCTAAATACTAATTATGCTTCCAGGGGAAAATGGCTGACTGAATATAGTTCTAAAGACAAGCAGAACTGATGATTGGCAGGCTTGTACAAGGGAGCTAAAGCAGATGGATTCCATTTTCTCTGAATGAAAGAGAATTACTGGTTATTGCCCAAGCTGTTTCTCTATGGTCATCCCTTTTCCTCACAAAGAGATTGCAATACAGCAATTTTGGGTGGTGGGAGGACTGAGGAATTCACCATTTCCCTCTAACCTACATATTATAGCCCTTTGTGGCAACTAAGTTGTGTATTTCCCTTGCTAACTATTTTTGGAAGTTACATATTAATGGATTTAAAATATAGACACCTTCAGAATGACAAGATTGGAAACCCTGAGTAAATGTTTTTAATCTTCAATATAAAAATATGAAAATTTACAATTCCTAAGAACTTAAAATATAACAGCAAAAAGTAAGAAAAGGTTTGGCTGCCAAAAGTTCTAGGGGTTAAAAAGCTTTGGATTTTGAATATTAAGATTTTGACACTATTTTTCAATAAAATAAATGTAAGTTTGTGAGAAAGAAAAATGAGTTTGAAGTCAAGTAATTTATAATAAGTGTTTTAAGACATCTTTGAAGAATTGTGTTGATATCTGCTTCAAGAAATGGAAATTTTCATCTAGAGAACAGTCTGTTACCGAATGAAGATATCAAAACAAGATACCCAGGAAAATGTACATAAGAAGAATATAAACATTTTGAATAAAAATCTGTTGCTAGGTACATTGGATGAGGTTTTAAAAATAAAAAAATAAAAATGAGAATCCCAGAAAATAATTGGAATAATTTCCTTTTATTGGATTTACAAAAGAGATTGTTTAAGGTGCTAAAGAAATTTGTAATAAGGATTATTAACCATCTGAATGGATTGCATAGAAAGACTCTTTTATTGAAAAGAAAAAAAAAGATTGCAACTGGTTTATTCAATCAGGGATTAATGGTATACATTATTCTGGGTAATTCTTTTTGGATTTTTTGATATCTTATTAGAGTTGCCTAAAAAAGATATGTTATAATTTTTTTCATATAATTAGTTTATGTGGTTCTAATTTTATTGTGCTTAATCTGATTTATATTTAATAGTTTTTCTTTAGTTAGGAAAATTGGAGAAATTATTTCTTTTTGCTATAACGGGGGTGGTGGTGGTGGTGTCACTATTAGGATATAGGGATTACTTTATACTGGTGAAATGTGGTGCCTATAGAGTGGAGACATGGAATGTGTATGTCTTGATGAGGTGAAGTCCACTGTGTATTTGTCTACCTTGTTCAGAGGTCACATTGGGCAATTCCATGTATGTAGTTGCTGCAAGGTTACCCAAGATATGATGGTTATCCCAGCTGTCCAGGAATGTATATTGGGCAGCAATGATATAGGAAGGTGCTTAAGGTGGGTTATCATTTTAATAACAACAGGAAAGGCATCCTGTTATGGGAGAGGACTGTGGTAAACCATTACTGTATTTTACAAAAAAAATAAAATAAACACAGTAAAGCAATTGATCATGACAAGCAGGAGCCTTCGTTCTTTCATATTACATATGTTGTTTATGGCATGGCTAGATTAAAGCCTTTAGGACATCTGGTTGCTGATGTTGCCATGAAGGAACAGGTAATCCTAAGCAAAGATAGAATTAAGTGGGAACATGGAATATTAATAGCATGAACATAGGAAAGCTCCACATAGTGAAAAATGAAGTGAAGCAACTATATACAGTGTCTTAGATATCAGCAAATTGAAATGGATTGGAATAAGAATTAAATTCTGTTATCATTATGTGCTATCAAGTAAGGATCAATTTAGTGACTACATAGACAGATTTTCTCCATGTCCACTTATTTCCAACTTTAATCCTTCAGTTTTCCAACTGTACATTTGTGTCTACTATAATTAAATCCTTTCACTTCCTTGTCGGTATACTCTTCTTTTTGCTTCTACATTTCCTAGCACTATAGACTTTTCAAAGAGATAGGTCTTTGCATTATGTATCCCAAGTAATAATTTAAATCTGGTCATTTGTGTCTGAAGTGAGAATTCTGGGTTGAATTAATAATTGTTTTTTTTTCTTGCTACCCATGATATTCTCATGAATTAATTCCAACACTAAGGCCTGTATACAGGTAGTCCTCAACTTACGACTACAATTGAGTCCCAAAATTTAGGTTGCTAGGTGAAATGTTGTGAGTTTTGCCCCATTTTATGACTTTCTTGCCAAAGTTATTAAGTGAATCATTGCAGTTGTTAAGTTAGTAACACGATTTGTTAAGTGAACCTGGCTCCCATTGACTTTGCTTATCAGAAGTTTACAAAAGCTGATCACATGATCCCAGGACACTGCAACTGTCATAAATATGAACCAGTTACCAAGCATTTGAATTTTAATCAAATGACCGTGGAGATACTGCAACAGTCGAAAGTTTGAAAAATGGTCATAAGTCAGTTTTTTCACTGCTATTGTAACTTTGAGCAGTCACTAAATGAACTGTTGTAAGTTGAGAACTACTGTACTCTTTTCATTCCTCTTCTTCAAAGTTCAGCTTTTGCTTCAGGTAAATGTCACAGGAAAGTCATTGCCTGCTCAATTCTTGTAGGCATAGACTTACTTAATATCTTAGTATCTTTTTTTCAAGTGCTTTATAGCCTATATCAATAAAGTAAAGTTCTAGCATTTATTGGTAGTGTGTCTTTTCTCACCTGTTTTACATCATAGGACTGACAACAATCTTGAAAGCCTGATAGCATTTCATTTTCTCACCATTTAATACCAAAAAACCCCAGACCAAATTTCTTTTTCATCCCTTCCTATCTTTTTGGGCTAAATTCACATTTTCCTAATGGTTGCTGTGTATCTTCTTCATATATATCTCTGTATTTCTCTACAGGAAGATACAGTCCCACTTGCTGCTCTGGATTAAGGATTATAACTTGGTTCTGATGCTGGACCCAGATATTGGCAATTTGGTCCACAGTCAGGGATTACAAGAATATAATTTTTTAATAACAAGGGACATGTTATAACGAGGGACATATTATCAAGGATATTTCAATCTTTGCAAATTGTTAAAGTTTATTAAATTTCTTGTGTATAATTAATTTTATTTAATATTTGAGGTTCACTTGAAAGCTATATAAACTATTATCGAAGAAAATCTCTTAAATCCTCCAAACTATCTTAGAAAGAAATAATTAGAAGGAAATTAATTTGCAATTAATACAAAATTATGAATTTTTCATCTAGATCATGATTTGTATAATTAGCAAATCTGTAGCAAATATACTGTAAGTATTTAATTTTTATATAACTTAGATTAATAATAGAAATTTTCAGAAGTCCAATTTATCATATTTTATTGTAAGGAAGAAGGCATTAAAATCTTCACTTTTTTGTTATATATTTCATAAATATTTTGACCTGGAATTTATGCTTAATGATGAATGATAACTAAGGAGGAGCTATAGTATGATGTTATATGTTGGGTTACATTTCAGTATATTTGATGAACTATAGGCAAGTACATTAAATAGGAAGAATGCTTATATCAGTGAGATTTTATTTATTGAGTTATTTCACTATCAACTTTACAGTTATATATAGATATGATGAATATAAAATGAAAATAATTGCATTTTGTACAGTAAAAAGTTAGTTTGATTATGTTTTAGTGGGGTTTTTTGTATGGGGTGTTTTTAGAACAGGCCTGTTATTTAATTTGATTTTAGAACAGAAACTATTTATTTATTATTGTGGTTTTTAGTATCGCCTGTTCACTGCCCTGAGTCCCGTAAGGGAGATAGGGCGGTATATAAATTGAATAAATAAATAAATAAATTCAATTGCTTCCTTATAGGAGATCCTTAAACTTTGGATTTCCTGACTACAAGATACTATATTTCATTTATTTTGGTAGCATTGGCTAATATGCAACAGATTTTGTTGTTCTGTGAATTAAGCCTTTTATAATTCTGAATTCAGTTGATAGAGGGTTACTGATCAAATAACAAACTGTCCAGAATGTTGAATCATCAAGCATTAAATATCTCTGGTATAATCTTATTAGATTCAGTAATCATATTTGGCCTTCATGATACTTGTTAAAGGTTAAAGTTATGAGTGCATAAACATTGATATACTTTTTTTTTAATATATTATGCAGCCAACAAGTCCCAAATTTGGAAAAGCTGATTCTTATGAAAAACTGGAAAAACTGGGTGAAGGTTCATATGCTACAGTGTACAAAGGGAAAAGCAAGTAAGTATATTTGTAACATTCACATGTTTAAGATTTTGTCAAATAAATTTTTTGGAAAAATAATTTTAATGTAGATATTAAAGTAACATTTTAATAAAAATATTAATAACTTTGTGACTGTTCTAACCCAGCCCTTGCAAGTAATGAGAAACTGCTTACTTGTGAGTAAACAAACCCCTTTTATTAAACCAGACAGGAACAATCTTTGTTCATGTTGGGTAGGCAAAACCAAAGCAAGTAGTCCCAAAGGAAAGTCTTTTCCCCTTCTGAAACAGGACAAGAACTGTTTCTGTTTATATGAAGCAAATGCACTGTCTATTAGTTCCCAGTAGGGAGACACAGTTGGCACCTCAAATACAGAGCAAGTAGTCCTGACCAACCTGGGTCTTGGCAAAAGAATCTGACTTGATCGATGTGTCTGGGAAAACGAATGGTTGTCTGCGACAACAGGCCGCTCCCAAACCCCTACTATTTATTTCCCAGCCAGGGAGGTGCTGGCTAACGTCTCCTTCTTCTTTCCCCTGAGAGCCGGCTTATTGCCTTCCGTTGCTTTCCTCTCCTCTCTACATATACATGCATCTGGGACGGGGCCCATCTTTCTTTCTCCTCACCATCTCAGGCCCCGAAGACAGATCCCTCTCCGCCTGGGTGCAGAAAGATGGCCCTGGCTCTGCATCTGCCTCTGCCTCATCAGAGCCTTCCAAAGGCTCCGATGTTGACTCAGGCTCCCCCTCTCCCTCCTCCTCCTCATCTGACTCTGCTGGCAGCTGACGGACCACAACAGTGACTCGGAGGTGGCACAGTATTAAACTAAAACTTCATATTAAAAATCGGGTATACTAAATGGGCTTAAATCTAAACCCAATGAGATTGGCATGATTATTTTCAATATTTTTCATCTATGCCTCCCAAATTCTCTTCTTTGGTCTTCTTTGGCTGTTTGTGTATGTATCAATATGCTTTTGGAATCAGTAGGTTTGAAACCTATAATCTACAGTTGATTTCTTTTGAAAATGTTTCTTATAGTACAGAGTCTATTATGTTCTGCTAAATGTTATTTTTCTATCTGTAGAACATGTTAATTTAACTAATTAAACTAACTGATTTTGTTGACAATTTGAAGTTATCAAATTATCACTAAATGGACAAAAATGGTTTGCTTCAATTGAATCTACTGTTGTGTATGTTTCTAGGCTCAGAACAACCTGATATCAAAATCTTATACATATTGTAAAAATAATTAACTGCTTGAAAGTTTAACAATTGAAATTATAATTTTAATGGAGCTAATAACTTGGAAATGCTTCTTAGATTGAGAAATGTTTAAAAGTTGTTTGTTTTAGTAAGTTAAAGTGAAGTTCCCGTGTACAGTGCCAGCTACTTGGTTGTGCCTTTCATTGTGTGCTATTCCTGCCTGCTTCTTACATCCTGCCTGCTTCTTACATCCTTCTTACATCCTGAACTATCTCTGAGGTCTGTCTGTGTGGTCTGTACCTTGAGTCCTGCAAGTATGGTAAACCTCTACTTCTAGGATCTGGTGCTTAGTGCTTGTTCTTGTCTTCCTGTGATCATTGCCTCAGTGCTGTCTTTCAGGCTAGCCCTTTCCAACCACTGATAGGATTTTCCAATGTCTGCTATATCAGCTGGTGGTACATTCCATCTTGCCATGGCACTTCCTCTTCTTGATTTTCTTCCCATGTCTGTTGCTGCCCTAGAAGTTCTCTCTGCAACTCAATTTTGGGTGCCATTTTACTGATGTACTTCTGGATTCTCTGGGTTTATCCATGACTTTTATACTCATAAGACCCCACCTTCCTAGTAGCACAGGGACACTATGTTGTGAAGCAACCTAAAATTATTTAGAATACAAATGCATTGTGAATACAAATAAAAATATCTTTTTGGTTTTGTCTTATTTACTAATGAATAATCTAAAAGTACAAAAATACAAAAACAGCATAATGACCATAATTGACACTTTTTGAAAACAGTGCAATATTAAATGCAAAAACAAAACAGAAAAAAACACAATAAAATAATATATTCTGAAACATTACCAAGCATAAAAGAGATAAGCAGGTTTGTTCTGTTCCCAGGAAATGACAAAAATTATAAATAATGGATATTGATGGATGTTCCCATTTTAAACTCAGACAGGATGAACCATGAGCCTTAGTATAATTGAACCAACAAAGCAACTATAATTCTTACATCTGTTTCATCTTAATTCAGTAGTTTGGAGAATAAGCTTACTGAGGCCAATAAAAGCCCATGTAGACATTATTTCTATTTTGGTTGTTAATAAGTGATGAATGTCCGTTTAAGTTTAAACCATCAAATAAAATGCCACAGTATAATTGGAATAAATACCCAAGATTACATTTAAAAAATGGTTTAAAAATGACAATGTGCTGTTTTTGTGGAGAATAACAGTCTTTATCATAAGAAGCTCTGTGTGCTGCAAATAGAAAAGTCTACTAAAGTGCTAATTGTATTTTGTTCTTTTTATTCCAGAGTAAATGGAAAGTTAGTAGCACTGAAAGTAATAAGACTTCAAGAAGAAGAAGGTGCTCCATTTACAGCTATCAGAGAAGGTATGCTTTTAATTTTGCTCTCAATTTTCTTTCCCTTCTTTTTGTAATTGCAGCAGACACATTTTTTCTACTTGTTTATTCTGGAGAGCCTTTATGTTTCTCAAATTATATGGTTACAGTCCTTGGAAGAGTAGGATTGCTACTTAAAAATCAAAACCACTCCAATGTGTGGGAGTTATTATAAAATAAAAAAGTTCTTTTTGGTAGATGGCTTATATAGGAACTGGTATCAGGTGTACATGACAGCATGTGTGCATTTGTGGAGGTATAGAAATGGTAGTAGGAGTTCACGTTAAGAATATTCTATTCATGGAACTGCTGCTGAGAAGTAGAATTCAAATCCAGAATAATTTTAACTAAGTAGTGTTCCAAGGATGATGATTTATTTATTAATTAAAGTCACTAAAAGTGTACTAAAAATAAAATTCTAAAAAATAATGTGAAATAATAAATATTTGACTTTAAAAATAAACTATGTAATCAGAATGATCCAAATTATTAACTGATGCTACTGGACATAAAGAAAGAAATGTGCATTCAAAGAGGAGCTAAGCTTTAAAATAATGTGAGGGAGGTTTTTAAGAAGTGCTTGGCTCCAACCAAGATTAATTAACCATTTAATGTTGGTCATCTCACTATGAATTTTCTGAGCTGATGTCAAATATAGGAAAGGGTATCAAACCAGAGGAAAGCTGGACTGTTCTGTAGTTCCACTATAGGTAATATGGGCACCAGGGACCGATTCCATGGAGAGACCCAAGGGGGCATGGTTTGGCGTAATGCTTGTATCTCATGGATGGGGCTTTGCTTGCTTGCAAGGCCCAGTTGCTGGCATGCTGCGGACCGCTGCCAGTCCATGGACTGGTGGTTGGGGACCTCTGAATTAGTCTATAAAAGAATGTACAGACTAAAATTATAATTCAAGAGTTTTTTTTCAAATCTGGCAAGACTAGGTTTTCTCTAAAGTAATTTATTGATTTCACTAAATTAAAAATTAACCAATTTAATTTTCACTGCTAAAATGACATATTGGATATTCAATGTACAGCTATTTTCTTTTCATCTGAAGTTTATTATCTTGCAGGTATGAGTTTTAAAAATTACAAACTTAGCATTTAAAAAGATAATTATGGTCCAGAAAGGGGGGCAGGGAAAAAGATTTCTTATGTACTCATAGAAAACACTGTTTATTTTCTGGTAGTTATGATGCATTTCTACAAAGGTTTATAGGTATGCAAAGGTACGCATTGCAATAATCTAAACAGGAATATGTTTCACACTAGACAGATCTAACATGTTCAGGAATGATGCAGTTAATTCAGTATCCTTAGCTATGCAAGCACATTCTTTGCCTTTTAGATTCAGTATTAAATTCAGGACCCCAAACAACAAACACAAATGTTTTCATGATTATTGCAATTGTGAAAATAAATTCTCACACTGATAAGTAGACTGGTAACTGTTATATAAACATATCCAGGTATAACTTGTGCTCTGCTATATGTCCACAAAAAGATTGGAAGAGAGACATTTACTATTTTGGGTATACAGAGATACATTTCAAAACAAAGATAATGTTTGGAATTCTTGTGCTGTAACTATAACTTTTTTCCTTAATACTATTTTCTTATTCATACTGTCTAACTATTCAGATTTCAAAGCTTATAACCAGGGATGACTATTTCAAGCCCAATCTAGTACTATAAACTTCTGACAGTAAATTTTGTGTCTAGACTAGAGTTGAATTCCTGTCTCCCAATTTGTCTTTCAGCTAATGAGGTACATCTCAGTCCTGTTGATTAAGTACAATTTTTTTCATCCAATAAATTATAAACAATAGTATATAATATTAAAAAGCAAACACTTGTTAGATCTCAAACAATTTCCTAAGAGTTTAATAAAGGAAAGAGGAAAAGTTAGTTAACTTTGCTTTGGTAAATCTGTTTCTTTGGGCTTTGCCTAATTTTAATTTTTTTTTTGCTTCATCTCAATCCATTTTTTTCCCTCTTGCTTTTTCGTATGAAAGAAGGAAAGAGAAGTGTGTTGGTGTATTTCTATGAGAGGCAGTCTAGTTGTCATAAAGGTTGATACATTTCTGCCTTGGGAATTTATTTATTAATTGGGCCCCGTATGTTAAATGCAATTAATTTTTAGATCTCTCTCTCTTTGTATATGTATAAATTTGTGACATGCACACTTTTATTGCTAAAAGAGGAATTTCCAGGATCAATATCATCTGAGTTGGCAACCCTAGATTGACATTGATGGGGAAGCTGGATGTGTACTGTATTTGTGTACATGTATGTGTGCATGTAATGTGCATGTATGTATGTATGAATGTATGTTTTTTATTTCTTTCTTATATAAAAGGAAATTGCCATAAAATCAAAATCCTCTTCCTTTCAAGTACAAATAGTCTAAATGAAACTAGAAATAAAAATTCAACAGCAAAATATATGTGTATATTTTATACATGTTTAAAAATATACACATATATTAGACTTAATAGGATTTCATTTTTTAATTGTATGGGCTTCCCTGCGGGAGCTCTTCATTCTATGTTGTACTTATTAAAAGAGCTCTACTTTAGGTAGATAATATGGAGAAAAGCTATTGCAAAACATTAAATGGACTTCAGGATTGCTTATATATCTTTATCTTACAGGAATTGCATAAATAAGCATCTGGCTATGAAGGGGAAATATTTAAGTATGCTAAAATAAATCCATCCATAGAACTTTCTTCTTTAGCTTTAACTATAATGCTGTGTTATATATAGTAAAGGAAACTGTATACCTTCAATATATTAGTTGAAGATGAACATAATTATAATTTAATTGAAAACAATATATATCATATTTATTGTACCTTCTTATCATACATCATGTCATATATATTTATATGACCATAATGGAGCCTGTCCATTACAGTCGTATGTTGTACCCATTGTAAAATGGATTGGTTATATAACCCATCCAATTTTATAATTTTTTTGTGGCAGTCATTAAGTGAATTTGGTGGTCACCAAGCAAATGCCATGATCTTTAAGCAAACCAATGGTTTACTATGGGTGCAGTTTTGCTGAAAACTGGAATGAAAAATGAAGTCACATGATAAGTCACTACCATAAAATAGAATATATATATATATATATATATATATATATATATATATATATATATATATATATATATATATATATAGAGAGAGAGAGAGAGAGAGAGAGAGAGAGAGAGAGAGAGAGAGAGAGAGAGAGAGAGAGAGAGAGAGAGAGAGAGAGATATAGATCTATAATACTATATATCATATCAACCCTAAAAACTTCAACTGATTTGGGTTTCAGTACAACATCCAATTAAACCAAGATTTGGGATTACACCTGTGTACAAAATTGTTTAATAGAGCATTACTGATGCTCTGTAAGAAGATGAAACTTATATGTATTTCCTTCCATTCCTCAACCATTAGATTTTAACTGCTGAAATAGTATGACAATGGAATAAGTAGTATATCAAATGTAACAAAACTTGAATATAAGCAAACCAGAAAAGCATTCATTTTAATTTTAGACTACAGTGTTGCATCATATGCTAGGATGCTTGCTCAAAACTCTTTGGGGAATTAAATTAAAACAGAGCCATATGTTTATCTTTACATTTGCTGCAAGGACAAAAAATCATGTTAAATTAACATTACATAACAAGCTTGCTAATAAAAGTATGAGTTCTTATTTCACATTAACCCATAACTTGGTTTTCAACAACATTGATATACTGGTTATGTTTATTTATACCTATTGTTGTTTCTCCTGATTTATTTCTACTTATATTATTAAATTGTTAAGATTTTTATTTGAGGATAGGGATTATATGCATTCAGTAAGAGTGATATTTATGCATCTAAAATTATAGCACATTGGCAATTTAAAATAGCTTAGTTAAATTTCTGTACAGAAATAAAGTATTGATTTCTAGTGCCACTTGTAAACCTATTTTTTAATCATTATTTATAATAGTTCTTTAAAAAATGAGTGGAATAATTTTTTGATAACATGCACTTTGTGCTGATTAATGAAAGAATACTTAGTTTTTAAAATCTGTAAACAGAAATTATTTGTTTCCTTGTTCAAATGCTTCTATAGATACAGATCTATACATGTATCTCCTAATTGGCTATTTCTTTAAGACAAATGGCTTTCTTTCCTATAAATAAATGTCTCATTTTGCATATTTTTTTAGACTCTCCATTCTCTAAATTCCTTAAATTGTTATTTGTAGGAAGAATGTCTAAATAAGGGTAGTCTGATACTAGCATTACAGAGGATTGTTAGTGAGCTATTTAGATTATCCATGGTTTCCAAAATTGTAAATTGCTTGATATGCAAGAATTATCTATTGTGAATTGCATAGTTAGAGTCATTTATTTCTATTTTAACCCATAGGAGATGTGCTGTTTTACTTTCATTAATAAAAATAGTTTTGCTTCATAATTTATCTCTAAGAAATGCATTTTATGTATTGTAGATTGATATTCAGAACCTCATTTCAGCAAGTTGTTTAAAACTATCCAATCTATTAATTAGTTTATAGACAGTTCACTAAGATTATTCAGATATCTGTGTTATCTTTGTTTTATTGTTATCATATTATCTACACTTATATTCCTATCGCTCTGATACCTTTTAAATAAATTATGTTACAAAGAAGAGTAATTAGTAGTAAGTAATTAAATTAAAGCCAGGAGATTAAGAAAGAGGAAAGTTAGGTAAATCTAGTTTATACCAATACCACTTTTTCAAATCTTTATCTCCTTTCATATCAACCATACTTTTACCAGAAGTAAAAAACATGTAAAAAACAAGAAAAACGTTAAGGAAATGATTGGTCCATTAATGGGAGAAAGTGGCAAGAAGGTGACAAGCAACATGGAGAAAGCAGAACTTAACTTGTTTTTTGCATCCGTCTTTACACAAAGGGAAAAAATAGTCTAACCTATCAAAA